CCTGGGATCATGACCTGAGCCGAAGGCAGACGCTTAACGACTGAGCCACCCAGGCGCCCCGAGAGAGAGAATCTTAAGCAGGCTCCATGCCCAGTGCAGAACTCAACGTGGGGCTTGATCTCAAGACTGTGAGATCATGACCTGAGCCGAAATCAAGAGTCAGATGCTTAATTGACTGAGCCACCCAGCCGCCCCCCCTTTTTAACTTTTGTTTATTTTTATTATTCTTTTGGTGTATGCTACCTATCTAGACTTACCTGCTCCTAGCATTGTCCCTTGGCTTTAGATCCCTCCACACTACCCTTAATGGCTCTCTCATCTCCATGTCTCCTTTACTTCTGGTCCATATTTCCATTGACCTTACTGACATTTCCAACTGGATGTCACATGAGCTCTTCAACTACAGCCATCTCAGAATTGAATTTCATCTACCATGATGACTGCTGATAATACCTGTTTTTCCTTAGTTTTTTTTGCTTCTCAACTCTTAGCCACTTAAATCTGCCTGGAGAACTGAGGGAGAGGTTTTTGTAAGGAATGGTATGTAGAAGTCATTTTGATAGACTACTTCCTACCTTCTCATTCTGTTGTAATATCTTTACAACTATATGAATGAATGTCTCTAGACTGCCTCATCCTCTAGGCTATCTTGCTGTGTTCTTTTACACTCTTTTCCAACCACACTCTACTTATCTTATTCTTCAGTAATCATGCCTTTTTTTTCCTTGTTTTTTTTCCCCTATATTACTTATTTAAGAGAGAGAGCACGAGCAGGGAGGGAGAAAGAGAGGGAGAAGCAGGTTTCCCACTGAGCAGGGAGCCTGGTGGGGGACTCGATCCCAGGATCCTGGGATCATGACCTGAGCCGAAGGCAGACACTTAACCAACTGAGCCACCCAGGCACCCCTAAGCATGCCTTTCTTAATCTGTACCATTGCACATGGGATTCCCTTCACAAAATTTTCCATGGCATCACTTCTTCAACTTGGGTAGTCCTCCACCTTAGGGAATATAAGTGTCCAATAAATATTTGTTAAATAAATGAACCAAGGAGTTTATATTTCTCTTCAACTTTTTCTTAGTCTCTTTTGGACAAAGTGCTAATCATCTATCTTTTCTTTGCTCTTTTTAATCATACCAAGAACTCTATTTTTTTTTTTTAGATTTATTTATTTATTTGAGAGAGAGAGCACAAGCAGGAGGGGCAGAGGGAGAGGGAGAGAGAATCTCAAACAGACTCCCTGCTGAGTGTGGAGCAGGACGAGGGGCTTGATCTCATGCCCCTGAAATTATGACCTGAATCGAAACAAGAGTTGGACACTTAACCAGCTGTGCCACCCAGGTGCCCCCCTACCAAAAATTTTTTTTTTTAAAGATTTTATTTATTTATTTGACAGAGACACAGCGGGAGAGGAAACACAAGCAGGGGGAGTTGGGGAGGGAGAAGCAGGCTTCTGCTGAGCAGGGAGCCTGATGTGGGGCTCGATCCCAGGGACCTGGGATCATGACCTGAGCCGAAGGCAGACGTTTAACAACTGAGCCACCCAGGCGCTCGCCTACCAAGAACTCTTTTTTTTTTTTTTAAAGATTTTATTTATTTGACAGAGACACAGCGAGAGAGGGAACACAAGCAGGGGGAGTGGGAGAGGGAGAGGCAGGCCTCCCGCAGAGTGGGGAGTCCGATGTGGGGCTTGATCCCAAGACCCTGGGATCATGACCTGAGCCGAAGGCAGACGCCCAACCGCTGAGCCACCCAGGCGCCCCCCTACGAAGAACTCTTATCGCTACATGTAATGTGATCTCATTGGTTACATTTGAAACTCTAAAAGTAACCAGAATAATAAGCAGCCATTATATAATGTGGATGATGTTCCACCAGGTTCTGAAACGCTATCTTGGCAGGCAGTACAGTGTTTCTAAAAGTCATCTACAGTATTTCCTACTGGATCTCCATGACATGGATAAACATCCAGTGTAATTCTAGTAATACGAATAATGTTTTCCTCTTACTCATCAGGTGCCAATGAACTGGCTGTGCAGAAAGCAAAGGCAGAAATCACCAGGCTTATAAAAGAAGAACTGATTCGGCTGGTGAGTGAAAACCTCAAAGACTTACTTAATTTTGTTTTAGTAAATATTTTATTGAACTATAATAAAAATTCAGAAAAGTACACAAGTCATAAACATACAGCTTAGTGAATTTTCATGAAGGAAGCACACTGATGTCATCACTGCCCAGATCAAGAAACATAGTACAATACCAGCATTCCAGAAGCCCCCCGTGTGCCCCTCCTGTCACTATTCATCTCACCCAAATGTAACAGTATTCTGACTTTCAACATGGTAGATTAGTTGCACCTGTTTTTGAACTCCGTATAAGTGGGATCGATTGCTGTGTACTCTTTTGTATCTAATTTCTTTGACTCAACATTACTTGGAGGAAATCCATGTTGTTGCATGTAGCAGTAATTAATTATCTTTCGTGGCTGTGTAGTATTTAATTTGTGAATATACCCACAATCTATGTATTGGACTTTGGGACTGTTTTACTTTCTTTTTTATGAATAACACTTCTCTGAGCATTCTTTTTTTTTTTAAAGATTTTATTTATTTATTTGACAGAGAGAGACACAGCGAGAGAGGGAACACAAGCAGGGGGAGCGGGAGAGGGAGAAGCAGG